CGCAGCTTTACACCCGGGGCCAGCTCCGTGGGGTCGTTCTGGAGGTCCGCACCCGGGGGGGGAGGAGCCGACGGGCTAGCGTTAGTGCTGGGTGGGGAGGCCCCGGGGACTTCAGGAAAGTGGGGGGGAGCGCCGCGGACAGGGCCCGCAGGAAAGAGGTCACCAGAGGCCGGATGGGCGCACGGAGCAGCTTTCCCCTTAGTCCCCCGGGGGAAGTGCCTTTTCGGCTTCACGGATCATTTGTAAAAGGCCATCATGTACCATGCATGATGTATTATGCGTACACACAAAAATCTTTTACACGTTTCACGACAAGGTGTAAGGTGCGATAATATTTATATATGAGGTATACGCATAATACACGATACGTGGCACGTGTTATGTTACTGCTTCCACGCCTTCGCGTTCGGCGGTTCGCGTCACCTGTTTTAAGTCTCCTCATGGGGGTCTCAGTTCCCCCCAGGATTAAACTGCTCAAATAGATTCCAAACAAACACGCACCAGGCAGAGAGCTATCCGCATATCATTCCCCCGCCAATTCCTGCGAGCTTCGCGGCTTGGATCATCTCAAAACATGTGGGTTAACACACACACACACACGCGCGGTTCGTGGGTAGCGGCCCGGTCTCTTACTTTTGCCAGCTGTCTCCCCCCCACGAAGGTGCCGTGCGTTGAGCCCATGTCGGTGACCAGCCAGGTGCCGCGGGCGCCGTGGAAGGCGGCGGTGGCGTGCTGGCGGCTGATGGAGGGGTGGTCCAAAACCACATCCGCCAGCGCATCCACGCGGCCAAACACCGTCACAATCTGGATCCCGGGATTACGTGCGCGCGGGGTTGGGGTGGGGGAGCGGAGGATGGAGTGAAGTGGGAGTGGAGATGGAAGAAGACGGGATCCGGAGAGGGGAGATCACCATGACAATGATTTGGGGCGGGATCATTTCAGATGATTGCGTACGTCCATTTGCATGTTGTATGTATGTATGTATGTATGTATGTATGTATGTATGTATGTATGTATGTATGGTCATAGAAACTAGGTTGTACCGAATGTATGTACGTCCGTTTGTATGTATGTCTGTATGTGGAAAGTCCCCTAGACCTACCCCACCTTGGCGAGCGGGGCTTCCTGTATGACCTGACCGTCCTTGTAGACCAGGAGACGGGAGCCCGCGGGCGGTTCCACGGCCCAGTCCGGAACCGGGCACTTGGGGGGCCCTGAGGCCGCGGGAATGGACTGCACGGGAGGCAGCGGAGCGGCTTCGGCGAGTGCGCCGGCCAGTTTGGGTGGCGGCATCAACCGGGTCGCCTCCGCTTTGCGTTGTTCCTGCGGTCAGCCAGGCATAGGGACGCTGAACTTGGGCAATTGCTGCATGGCGCGTGGAAAGGAGATCGACTGGGGCTATGCTTTGTTGGTGTTGAGGGGTTGGGGTTAATGTGTGTTTGAGGGGTTAGGGTTAAGGTTTTTTTACGGGAGCGACCCATTCCACTGGGCCCCGGTTGGAACGCACCCGCTTAGATTGCACCACCTCAATTTTCCCAAACGTCTGGGCATTTTCGGTACCCAAAGTTCCTGCATAGAGTCGTCACGCGGTCACGCGCAGAGGGCCATGGCACCTGAGCTGCTTATGGGAACTCTTCGTAAAGGCGGATAACGTTTCTGCGAACGGTTACTAGCACGTAACAACCTTGAGACTGGACGAAGCCGGCCAGCCCCAACCTCGCGACACGTCCTTGAGTGCTCCGCGACCGGGCCGATATATCATCGTCCGCGTCAATCCATCTATCCATTTCTGTGATTCTAATTCATGTGCAGAAATGCTAATAAATACCTGCTAAATTTTAATGTATTCGTATCCGTTGCACGTCCTTTTTTGTTGTACTTGAGCTGTCACTGAGAGTCCTTTGCATAACCTGGTCCTACCCTAATTCCACCAAAAGCTGTGCATATGTGTACAATTGATGAGGTGTTAGGTGTACGATCCAGACTTGGGCAAAGTTCTGTGTCTATCCTCAAAGTACTGTTGACGGCCTTTACAAAGCGACAAAAAATTTCTCACGAGGTTTGCTGCTGTTACAGAGGAATTACTACCTGCTAGAACGGAAATGGCACCTTTCAGACCTGAGGAGGTGCGGAGGTACTCCACGGACAGCTCGGTCTTGCTGCAAGCTCACGCAGCACTAGCGCCCCACAGGTCACCTTACCATCTCGCTTTCTATGTAAGACGGCACATCTTGTGGCTATCCTCACAGTACTCTTCGATGTGGAAGCTGTCGTTGGTAACATGCAAATTGCTGCGACGGACTCGCTATTTGACACCCGAAAGAAACAGTGAGTGACAGCTCCTTTTAATTTTAAAGACCTTGACCTTGCCTGTTTACATGACTTCATGGCTTCGGAACGTCGGAACACAGTCCATAACCCTACCCCTACCCGGGGCGTTATTTTCAGGATCACTGGGTTATGCTACGCCGCCATCGGCTGCTTCGCCGTGGACTATGTTTCTCTGTTCCTGGGGATATCCATGTTTTTTCCAGTAGTCATGGGCCTAAACATACTTGCACACTTCGTGGGCACGATTCTGGTCGTCCTCTTCTACACAGACGTGAGTTGGCGGTTCACACGGTTGAACTTTTGATCCATACAAGCCCAAAGCTAGGATTTGGAGTCCTCGGAGCTTTTGGCTAGAAGTAGCTTTCCTCCGCTGCTTTGCATGAAATTCTCTTATCTTTAGGAAAAATCGTTTGCTGCTCAACGCACCCTAACCCTGACCTTCGTACACGCAGAACTGGAACTACGATTCATTCGCGGCATTCTTCGCAATCTTCAATGTCCTTCCAATGATACTAGAGTTGTTCATACTGGTGTTTGTGACAAGGTTCTCCTTTTTGAAATACTAAGTCAACACAAGGCCGCCTGGATGGGGCGTGAGCGGAGGTACCTAGGGGAAGGGAACAACCTGGCAGGGGGCGTGCGCGGCCTATGCTGCCGACCACGTAGCATCTGCGGTGTGGCAGAGGGTTTTACGGTTGTCATAGGCGACGCAACGGGGAATATCTGTATTTTCCACGCCCGGACGGCGCGGAGATTTCACGTCCTTCGGTGCGCGACGGCGTGCAAGCCATGGCGTGTTGTGTGACGGGGGAGCTACATGCGAATGAGGCAATAACGAATGTGATATATATGTCGCTGGTAGCGATTCAAGGGCCTGGGTTTATGCATTCTGGCCATGAGCTGTGCCGTTGTGCTCGGCAAACCGTTTCAGAGTTGGCCCCGGGGACAGCGTACGAGCTGTGAAAATGACACGATATCCTTGCAGGATGGTGGTGGGCCAAGCTATGCCCGCTAGAGGGCGTTGTTTTGGCTTGTAAACTGAGAGCCTGGGAAGCTTTTGGTTCCCGTTGAAGGTTCAACTATATCTCGCCGTACGTCCAACTTCCTATCATGTCACGGTGCAACAGATTTATCGGTTAGGTAACGACTTAACATCATCGATCGGGCTAATCTGGATTGGTTGCGGGCACTTTTCGTGTTATTTAACTAGGTTTAGTTTAACACAGCGGATTCGTATTGGGAGCAATGGCAGAACAGGGAGCAAACTTGGAACACCGGCCGTCAAAACGAGCAAAAAATATCACAGCGCTCCAAGCCATAGGCCCGGACCTTCAAGCCGAAGCGCTACTAAAATATAGCCTGAAGCTACCGCAGAGCTTCACGCCAGGTGCCATACAAGCTAACCGAGTTGCATTACGGGTGCGCCACACAGCAGAACGAGCTTGGCTCTGAAGCCAGCAGGGGAAAATTATTGGAGTCATCCCGATCTGGTTGGGTTTCCTGTATGTTAGATGCGATTTTAGAACAGGACGGTTAACAGCCCATGCACTGACAAACTCACGTAGCATCTGCCTGGAATACAGGTCGTGGGAGACCGCTGCTTAGCCTATGTCGCAAACGCTCAACACGTATATGAGGTAAGAGGTTGCGGCTCGGCTCCCGTTCGCCTGTGGAGTTGGGCATCGCTTGTGCTTCAAGCCTCCTTTCCCCACAACTTCCCCCGGGCTTTGCATTTTGTTTAGTATCATTTCCTTCCACATCACCTCCTAATTCCCCTTATCCAACAACGCGCCTCACGTCGGATCCAGGTGTCTCTGGACCTGGCGGCAACGTGTTCGCCCTCGTGGGAGGGTGTAGACCAGGGCAAGGAAGGCGTTCTAATACCCCGCAGCGCACAGGTGGGTTTGGAACAGCCCGCGAAGGTGGGGACGGGGTTTCGGAGGTAGAACAGACTCCAGAAGTAAATTGAGAGGTATGCAGGACGGGCAAGGGCCCTTTCCAGGCACTGCGTTGCGCCTTCGCACATGTTGCATCTGTCTAGGAAAGGCGCGGCGGCCTGAGATACAGCGGCATGGCAGCCTGAATCGCGGCAGACGACAGAGGATTAAAGCAGGGACAGGAACAGGGGGCAGGTTCGGAGGCGATGGAGAGACGAAGACAGGAAAACAGGATATACCTAAACGTTGCCGTGTGTGTCCAGACACAGGACACGTGCGTGGACGGCATGGACAACTCAATACATCAAAACTTACGCAACCTCATGACGGTACGGCACAAAACACATGCAGGTTGGCCACGTTCGTCAGCTGGAGCTCCTGTCGCACATGCCAGCGGAGGTGCAAGGACTGTACGCCGGCGTTCACGGTACGGCATAACGGGGGTTGCGCTGGAGCTGGGGAGCACTCGCCGTTCCTGCTCCTGCTGCCGTCTCTTGATCTCCTGTTGTGTCCCGTACTGGGCCCCATCTCCTAGAGAGACCCCTACCCCCATCCTGTTGTTTCCTTGACGCCTGCACACGGCTCCGTCCGCACCCTCCGCCTTCAGGGCAACACCACATCCTGGCGGCGGTGGACGCGGTGGGCAACACCCGGGTGCTGGCTGAACCTCTTACGCAGGGTCCGGGTCCGGGTCCTGGCGGGCAGCCTGGGGCCCAGGAGCAGGACAGCGAGGAGGGTGGTGGTGGTGCGTCCGCGTGGCGGGGCCTACTGACCCTCGAACCATCCTACAGAGGGTGAGGTACAGTGAGTCCCTTGCCGGGGCCAACCAACCCAACCTTGACCCACCTGACCCACCTGCATCCCCGTCTCGTGCTTTGGCACGATTTACCAATCCGCCAGCCAGCCAGCCAGCCAGCCAGCCATCTAGTCACCCACCTCCATGTTCGGGTCGTTTCCTCTCTGTCCCACGTCATTCGCTCGCTCCAGGGAATGCGGCTGGACGGGCCTGGCAGTCCGCTCGCCTGGGGAGGTGGCGGCAGGGGGAGGTGGAGGTGGAGGTGCGCAGCAAGACGGTGTCTACCCCTCCTGTGGCCCGATGTTGGAGGTGGCGGTTGCCCGGCAGCGGCTGCGTGACGTGGGGGTGTACCGGGACGGCGCCAGGCTGCGGACTCTGCATACCATTCAGGTCGGGATGCAAGATGCGAAACGACGTGGGGACGAAACGGATGGTGCCATTCGTGGTGTATTCGTCGTGGCATCCTGGCGGCATGATGTGGCGTCGTGGGCCATGATTTACGTTAATTAGCACTCAATGCGCCAGCCTGTGTGCAAGCGTCCCGTGTTCTTTCTGTGTTGGCTCCGCCTAAGAGGACTTCCTCGAGGGCTCCTCCCGGCTGTGGCTTGAGTATTTGTTGTATGTGCCCCACTGCAGTGCCCCACTGCGCTGACCTACCTGGGCACCGGGGCCCCTTGGAGCGGCTGTGGTGAGGCTGTCGACGGACTGCTGGCCGTCGCTGAGGAGCACCAGGCAGGCAGGGGGAAGGGGGCAGGGGGGAGGGGGGAGGGGACAGGGGGTTGACCGAGGGGAACACACGAACCTGGGCGCGGGCGCGGAGGGAAGGGGGAAGGGGAGTGGGACCGGGCGGGGGTGGGGGCGGTGGGTCCTGTCGGGATGGACGGGCGGGGGTGGTACACTAGGGTGTGGCAAAAGGGAACAAAAGCCGGTGAAATCTCCCTTCACCTGGCGACCCCTTCTTGGGGGTGTTGAGGGATGTTTCGGGGGGGGGGCGTGTGCGGGGTTTGTGGCGTGGGGGCACAGGGGAGCGGACCTCAAGCGGGCCTACCTGCTGATGGCTCACGACCACGACACTTCAAGGTAGCGCCAGGGTCTTCTCACGGCTCGTCCTGCGGCTGGATGGAGGCCAGGGCGCAGGGGCCAAGGGCTGTCGCACCTAGCTGTAGTGATGATTCGGGACGAAAAGTGGTTTGGCTCCTTTCGGCTAGCCTCGCGTACGGGAATCCGCGAGACTCCAGCTGGTGCCGTACCTGACTCACCGCACCCCGTCCGCACCTGATCACTCTCTCCCTGCCTGACCCACCCCATACTGCTAGCAGGTTTCACTGTGGGATGTACGGCAGGGCGAGCGTGGTGGTTGCGTGCAGCGGATAGGTGTGTACGGCGGAGGGTTCCCTATTTACAGCCTCTGTTGGCTGTCCGCCGCCGTTACCGGCAGCGGCGGCGGCGGCGGCGGCGGCACGGCCATTACCGCCGCTACGGGACGGCCGCGGCAGCAGCAGCATCACCATCAGGGGCCAGGTGGTGGTGTGTTGGGGCCGGCCGGTGCGGGCCTGCTGGCGGCGGCGGGCGGCGAGCGATCTGTGGTGGTGCTGGAGCCTCGAAAGTGAGCTGCGTGTAGTTGTTGGTTGTGGTGCTGGTGGCGATATGGATCAGGAAAAGAACCATCGTGGAGGGACGAGCCGGGGAGGCGGACTCTCCTCCTGGAGCCAGAGGCCGGTCCTTAGGAGCAGCAGCAGCAGCAGCTTCTTCTCTCTGTCCCTCCTTCAAATTTGGCCTCTCTCCCCGTCCCCCCTCCAGCCGCTATCTCACAGGGACCTAGCAGACACGACTAAGGAGACATTAGCCGTTACACGTATTCGGGAGATCCGCGACCTACCACCGAAAGCCCCTTTGCCTAGGCGTAAACGTGTGAATCTGAGGTACTGTTACCGATAAACAACAGAGACTTATAAAGGCTTGGAAAGCCTATCCCAAAGGACGAGAGCTATCAGTACGCTAGAACCTAATAGCCATTATGACGGGCCTCCCGAGACAGGTCCAAAGCTGTTGGTCCAAAGCTGTTACTCAGTCTAACATGCGACCTCAGACCGGCCACAGCTGTTACTCACGACAGCCTGACAAGTTACCCAAGCAGGCCACAGGGCGACACGGCAACCCTTCGCATCAACACGCCCCCTCGTGTCGCACTAGGGGCCTTACTACAAATTGTTAGCACCGACGAGCTAGCTCGGCCACCAAGTCCGCGGTCCAGGCCGACTGCTCACCACTCAACAAACACAAACGCAGCTTGCCAGCCTTCAGCCTGATGGCTATGCGGTCTGGTGCTGCTGTTCAAACACAAACAGGGAAAACAGTGCCGTACAGCACCATACGCACTGCCTACGGCGCCCCTTCGGGCATTGACCTGCCCATTCGGGCGCCTGCTCACGCACCCTCAGCACCCCCCTAAAGCCTAGCTCAAAACAATTCCTCAAAGCCCTCAGCACTCCTCCTCTGGCGATCTAAGTGACGCCCAGCGCTGTGCGGCAGCGCACGAACTTGACCTCGCCCAGTGCCTTGGTTAGGATGTCAGCCACCATGTCGTCGGTGGTGCAATAGCTGAGCTTCACCTCACCACGCGCGACCCTCTCGCGCAGGATGTGATGGTGCACGTCGATGTGCTGGGAGCGCACCGACGTGATGGGGTTGTTGCCGAGGCTGAGCGCGCCTTGCGAATCCAGCTGGACGTTGACAGCACCCGGGGAAAGGTCCAGATCGCTCGCCAGCTTGCGCAGCCACAACGCCTCGCGCACGGCTGCTGCTGCGGCCTGGTATTCGGCTTCCACGGAGGAGGCAGCTACGGTGCGCTGCAACTGACTGCTCCAGCTGACCGCCGCGCCACCGAGCAAGAAAGCGTAGCCAGTGGTGGACCGGCGGGTGGTTGGGTCGCCGGCCCAGTCTGCATCGCTGTACCCACAGAAATTGCTGGCGTCGCCACAGTAACGTAGACCAAGCGCCCGAGTGCCAGAGACGTAACGCAGCACACCCAGAGCGAGCCCCATGTGCGCTTTGGTGGGGGCGGACATGTGCCGCGCCAGCATGCTCAGAGCGTGTGCGATGTCTGGGCGTGTGCTGGTAGCGAGGTAGTTTAGTTCTCCCACCAGCGCGCGGTAGCCACTGCTGTCCGTCAATATCGGCTGGGTGTCACTGGCTGGCAGAACCCGTGTACCCTGGGGTAGCGGGGTGGCACGTGGCTTGGCGTTCTCCAGGCTGTGGCGCTGAAGCAGCTGCTCCACGTAACACTGCTGCGTGAGCATGATGCTGCGGTTGCGGCGGTCCTGGACGATCTCCATGCCGAGGTAGTAGCGCGCCTCTCCAAGGTCTCGTACAGCGAAGCAACCAGCTATGGCCGCCTTGGCGGCCGCAACCAACTGCGGGTTGTCCGCCGCCACCAGCATGTCATCAACGTGCACGAGCACATCGATTGAGCCATCGGACCCCCGCTTGACGAATAGCGCGGGGTCGGACGCAGACGGTTCATAGCCTAGCTTGCCCAGCTCCGCTGCTAGCTTCTCGTACCAGCAACGTGGGGCTTGCTTGAGGCCGTAAACAGACTTTAACAGCCGGCACGCCTGTGACGGGTCGCCGTTGCTGTAACCTGGGGGCTGTCGCATCCACAGCTCCTCTGCCAGGTCACCGTTCAAGAAGGCCGTCTTGACGTCCATCTGATGGACCGTCATACCTCTGGCAGCTGCCACAGCTAGAAGTGCCCGCAGGGAGGCTGCACGCGTAGTGGGCGCAAACAGCTCTCCATAGTCTATGCCCGCTCGCTGTTCAAAGCCTTTCACCACTAAACGCGACTTGTAGCGTACCTCACCGCCTGGCTCCTGTTTGATTTTGTAGACCCAGCGGCAGTCCAGGATGCGTGCACCGGGTGGCGGCGTGCCCAACTCCCAGGTCTTGTTGGAGAGCTGCGACAGAATCTCGTCATCCATCGAAGTTCTCCACTTGTCCGCTTGCGGACTCGCCACCGCTTCCTCATAACTGCGCGGCTCCTGCACCGTGCTGTTGCCTCCGCCGCCCGCATTGCCGTCGCCTGCCTCAGCATAATTTGTGCTTCCCGACGCTTTGTTAAGCAGCGGTGGACTGCCCAAATCTCCGCCGCCGCCGCTGCTGTTGTTGGCTGGGCAGACCGTGGCCAGCGGCGGGTGAAGAGGTTGCCGTTGGCTGCGTGTGTTGGGGCGGGGGGGGGGCGCTGGGTTCACTGGGGGCGATGCAACCACTGGAGGTGGCGGTGTGGCGGGCTGTGTAGAGCCGCCGACGGGGTCGCCGCTGCCAGGACGGGCGGGGCCAGCGCCGAAGGAGGTGCCCGCCCGTTGAGACGCCAGGCCGCGGAGGTCATCATCGAAGGTGACGTCGCTGCTAACAGTCACCTTACCGTCGACGAGGACGCGGTGGGCGGCCGTGCCGCGCTCCGGTCCTAGGTAGGTTCCCGCCTCTGCGCGGGGACCGAGCTTAACCTGCTGGCTGGTTGGGACGCGGACGTATGCCAGGCAGCCGAATGTGTGCAGGTGACTGACGTCGGGGGTGACGACATGATAAGTTGCCCACGGCGTAGCCTCCCGGCCCTGAGAGGGGGAAACATTGCGCAGGAGGTTGGCGTATAGCACAGCTTCCGACCAAAAGCTGTCCGGGAGCGCGGCATCGTACAGCATAGCCTGCACACGGTCGAGGAGCGTGCGATTGAGTGCGATTGAGCCGCTCCGCTGCACCGTTCTGCTCCGGAGTGTACGGCGCCGAGTGGGTATGCGCAGTGCCGCGCTGGTGTAGCCACTGTGCCAGCTGCTCGGCGACAAACTCGCCACCGTTATCACTATGAAGGGTGCGGACCCGTGCACCGTTCGGGTTGCGAGCCTCCAGCTGTGTCACCATGTCCTGCAGCGCTTCGCCCACTTGGTTCTTGCTAACCAGTGTGCGAACGGCAGACAGACCGGAGGCACCGTCCAGCAGCGTTAGCAAGTAGCGAGCCCCTCCTCGGCCCGTGGTCGGCATGGGCCCGCACAGGTCAGAGTGTACGACCTCCAGGACATGCTGAGGCCGGTTACCGCGGCTGACGTGAGCTGTAGCTGTAGTCTTCGCTGTGACACAGGCTTCGCAGACACCCTCTGCCGCCTGACGCAGCGCCGCGGGAGTGACCCGTGGTCCATGTACCAGCTGCTTGGTGATAAGCTGCTCCAACGCCCGGTAACCAAGGTGGCCGAACTGGCGGTGCAGGCGCTGTGCTGCTGCGAGTTCGGCGGCTGAGCACTCAAGGGCGCCCAGCTGCCCTTGGCCGTTGCTGGCGCCGTTCGACTGGTCTCCGCCGGTGTCACTGCTGCCGGCGCCGTTCGGCTGGTCCCCGCCGGCGTCACTGCTGCTGGCGCCGGCGGCAAATCTGCTAGCGCTGGTACCTCCGCCGGCTCTGTCTTCCGCAGCGCCGAGCGCACTGACGGCGCGTTTGGTCGGCGCCGCATGCACGGGGCACGGGGCACGGGGCACGATGCACGGGGCTCATAACCTGTTGGTGAGACGCTATCTCACAGGGACCTAGCAGACACGACTAAGGAGACATTAGCCGTTACACGTATTCGGGAAATCCGCGACCTACCACCGAAAGCCCCTTTGCCTAGGCGTAAACGTGTGAATCTGAGGTACTGTTACCGATAAACAACAGAGACTTATAAAGGCTTGGA